CGCCCCCGTCCGGGACCGGGCCCGGCAACGGGATCGCACCCCTCGGTGTTGCGCCCGCACCTTGCTCAGCCAGTGAGCAGCCGGTCTGTATGTGGGATCCGAACCCTCGGCGGGAGCGCCGCCGCGCTCCCAAGCGGCGCACTGTAGCAGTGCGCCACCGGGCCGGCCCGTTTATAATTATTTCTAACAGAAAAACAAATGATACAAAGTATTCACCAAAATAACAATTATATCACCAAGTAAGAACTCAAGTAATGATCGCCTACATTCTACATCATTTCTCTTTCAATAAAATCTCTCTAAAATAAATGCAGTACAGAAACCAAGAAAAAAAAAGACTGGAGGGCCTAGGGTGTGCTAGACACATCAGCGCTATCTATCCTGATCGCATTTTTACCACAAGCACCCGAGATGGCACTGTTCCCCACATTCTTTTTGACAGATCACGAGACAAAGGCTCAGAGACCAAACAGTAGGCAATGACTGATACAAATCCTTCAAACTTCAGATCTCAGAGTCCTATAAAAGAAGGTTATTAACTAAAAAGTCATATTTTTAATAGTAGTTCTAGATTATACTTGTGATAAAATCACACAAGACCTGTAGGCAACTGGGAAAACACCAACTGAACACTTTTTCCCAAGAGATCAGCTGAATCCTAGGAGTACAGTGAGGTGGAAAAATTACTGTCTTAACCACATTAGCCACAATAAGTCAACTTTTTGGAGTACTTAAGAGCCTACTTTATTATATACACAAAGTCCAATATAAGCAGTTATAAATCTTTGACACCAGCAAAAGAGGTGGCAGGAATAAATTAATTCCCATAAAAGACAAATTAGAAAACCATAATAAATATAGCTGGCCAGAAGGGCCCTTGATCACCCTAAAGGAATACTCACAGAAACAGCAGGACTCCTGATGTCTACTGCATAGTCGGCCTCAGAGGGCTGGATGTTCAGCTTCAAAACATTATGCAGAGAAAGGCCTTCTATTCCCAATCTATGCAGACCCTCCATTACCCGAGCTTCATTCCTCAATACATCAAACAGGCTAAAAGAAAGTAGGTATTTAGTAGGAAAAAAGCTTTAAAAAAATCCTTGCCATGAAAAAAATTATCCGTTCAAACTCAATGCCAAATCAAACTAAATAAGAAATTAAGAGAGCTCTTCCCTTAGAAATACTCTCGTCAAAGTATGCAGAACAAAGTATGTAAGACCTGCGTCTCAGTTCATATTTATTTACATTTATTAATGTATATATGTTATCGCTAAGTATAAACACATAATCTGAGGATGCAATAACCCTATTACTTTGCACTGCATGTTTTAAAAAATGGTACATTAATCTCTCTGTATTATATCTTACAACTACATATGAATCTACATTTCTCAAAATAAAGTTTTAAAAAAACACACCTCAAAAAAGACATACATTACATATGTTTAATATATGTTTCAGTATCAGTATCAATTCACATAGGCACACGCACACATACAACCACAGAAAGAAGTCTGGAAGAATTCATACCCAACTTAGAGGTTTGCTAGGGGAAGTAGAAAAGATGGAGAGGGGGATGAAATAATAAGACAAGATGAAAACTTTACTTTTTTAGTTCCTTTATCTCTGTATTATTTAAAATTATTTACATGAGCAAGTACTCAGTTTGTAATACTCTGAAAAATTAAACATATATATATATATTTTAATAAAACACTCAATAAAAACACACAAGGACAATCTTTTAAAGTATCCACATCCATTCTACTAACTTATCACTCACTCTGTAATGCAACATATGGACACAAAACCTTGATTAAAATAACAAATGTGAAAAATATGTTACTGTAGAAACTGCTTCTTCTGAAGCACTGGTAATAGCTTTTGTTTTTACCATTATAAAGCCACAGTGAAAACTGTGTATCAATTTTAATTCCAAGGATAAAATCTGAATTCTGATTGTCCACTGCCCCCCTCAGAAAATCACGAAGACAATTTAGAGCATATTAATCCTGAACCACATTTTAACAACAAAAAAGTAAGTATTCAAATAATAGATATGGACAGAATAACTTTTTTAGACACCAGAGATAGCATTTTGAATAAACTTACTTTATACTGTTCCCAGACACCAAAGAACCTGCTCTTTTCTATGCTTCTATGGTTAACTGGAAAACGATAGCTCTAAAAGGGCATCCTCAAAAACCACACAGGCCTTGAATGTACATTGTGATACAAGATGGTGACATGTCTTACTGCCCAACCCAGCTACAGCATGGGCCAACCTACCTCCACTCAAGGGGACCTGGTAAGCCATCAGGCTTTGCATCATGCCACATCAAGAAAGAATGACAATCTGAACATGTCACAAGGAGCTATACATTATGAAAACTTTCCAGAGAATAAAAAATATTAACCACACCTGAATATATCCTGCGTATCTAAATCAATATGAAGTCCATTGATGAAGAGAGCTGAATCTCCAGGCTGTAATCCTAAAGTTCCCTTGAAATACTGAAAAATTTTAAAAAATGGTTAGGAAGCAGTAAGAGAAAATTTAACAAAAATTTCAGTGTTTCTGGACTTTATTATCAGTAGAAATCTTTTTTGTTGTTTTATTTTTGGCAGCCGGCCAATTTGGGGATCCAAACCTGCGTGCACAAATCTTGACATCCTAAGGCTGGGTTAAGATTTCCTTCTATGTACTCCCACATACGCTTCTTAGCTTCACACAGAATGAAACTGCCAATTTATGGGACATTTACCTCTCCTCCCTTTCCCCTGGAATTTCCTCTCTCTCCCCTTCATTCCAATGATTATTAATACAACTATTTCCTATAACATGGGGGGAGGGGGGCAAGGAAGGGGAGTGGGGTAGAAGGAGGGGAAGTAAGTTCACTTTTCAGGAAAGAGGATACAAATAAAATAGGACTAATTGAACAAATACTATCTATATTTAATTTTTTTAAAGTGTTTCTTCCTGCCCTAGGATATATTAGGATATTTTACTTTTTCAATTTCCTTTTCCAATAATACTTCTCTGAACTGCCTACAAGGAACTGAAACTAGTATTTTTCTATTACTCCAGACATCAACAGAATAGATATATTTGTTCTTTGCCATAGTAACAAAAAAAGTCCCTCATAACCAAAGAAAATGATTTACCTACATAATATTGAAGACAGAAGGATGTCAACTATCTATAATTGGGGTCCACACTGGGGTTCTCCTTTTTCTCCAGCTGTTAAGTTACATGAATTCTGGAATTTTCTCTACCTTTGCTCACCAGTGCCAGGTTATAGATATGTAAGCTTGCTACCCTTGCCTTTTTACACTTCTGTTACTTTCCCTGTTAGTGATGCCAACCAAGGTTGTGACAGCAGTCAATAACAGCTGGACCTTCTTCCTGAAGTCCAGGGATCTAACCAAAAAGGGTGTCAATGTTGTGACACCAAGGTCAAGGGTTCAGATCCCCATAACCGGCCAGCCAACCAAAAAAACACAAAAAGTAAAAATAAAGAAAAAAGGGCTGGCCCGGTGGCGCACTGCTGCGGTGCGCCGCTTGGGAAGCGTGGTGGCGCTCCCGCCGAGGGTTCGGATCCCACATACAGACCAGTGGCGCACTGCTGCGGTGCGCCGCTTGGGAAGCGCGGTGGCGCTCCCGCCGAGGGTTCGGATCCCACATACAGACCGGCCGCTCACTGGCTGAGCGAGGAGCGGGGGCAACACCAAGGGTTGCAATCCCGTTGCCGGTCGCGGTCCGGTACGGGCGCGACACTGAGGGTTGCGATCCGTTGCCGGTCACGAAAAAAGACAAAAATAAAAATAAAATAAAGAAAAAAAATGGGATATCAAAACCTCATACCTCTCTTAAATCTTCAAACTATGGCACACCAAGAAACTCTGAGCTGCTGTGCTAAGGACAGCATATAGTGCAGCCTAGCTCTCCAACACTCAGCCTCTGTAGAGCCCTTTGCCTGCTGCTCCCTGAGATGGTGGCATCCCTGACAAACAGGAGACTTTGAAGCCCAAGACCTGCCTGAACCAAAGAAAACGCTGCCCTGACTCCATGATGAAGGTGCTGTTGAATTATAACCTTTCCATCCAATTACTCTTTCTCTCAAAGAACACTGGGACTCTGAAGGGAAGAAACTAATCAGATACCAGGGACAGAACTTAATCCCTTAGCACCCACAGCTGGGGGAAGAAGGACAGGAACTGCTGAGCTGCCTTCACTCCCCAGTAGTCAGTAAACTAAAAGAAATAAATTTTAACGCCTAGTACTGCATGGGGGGAAAAGAAACAATGAGGAAGCCATAGCTTTTGCTTCATGGGCCCTGTCAGGATTAAATGGCAAGCAAGATCAGGGGATAAATCCACAATGTATACATACTTCAAAACATCATGTTGTACATCACAAATATACATAAATTTTACAAGGGGACTTCAAAAATGTCACAGAAATATTTGTATTATCTTTTAATCCTACTTTTCCACAAACTCTTTGAAGTACCCTCATATTTGTCAATTTTAAAAAAAAGGAAAAAGAAAAGATAAGAAGATAATGGGGAGTTGCATCAACTGACCACTGGAAGTTCTTCCAAGGGAGAGAAGAACACCATGTCCACTCACTCCCAGGCTGCATGCACAGCAAGCACCCTTGGATGATAAGAAAGACTGACTCTGAGCTAGTAAATACAATGCACATCTATTTCTAGAGCCAGATGCTAATAACATAGGTGGGTTCACTTTGTGAAAATTCATCACACTAAAGATTTAGGATTTTTGCACTTTTTTAGTGTTTTATGTTTACTCTTTAATAAAATGTTTTACTCAAAAAGCTTAATAATCCAGGAAATACCAGCATAGTCTGTACAATTTAATGTTTTGTATTCCTTGTGGGACAAAAGGCCTAAAATTAAGGTAATATTTGATATTATTCTGGAAATTAAAAAGTAAATAAAAACTGTCAATAAGGTTGTTTCAATTTAATAAATATTTGACTGATTTATTCCTCAAATCTATTTAATTAACTAGTATCTTATATGTAAAGATTAAGGAAATCTGGGGTAAAGACAGTGAACTGAACACAGCACTTTTTTCCCTTGTGCAACTCTACTAAAATGTCAGTAAACGGACTTTTTTAGTTATAATTCCACAAGGACAAAGAGAACAGGAAAAAAAAGCCAACAAAACTTGGAAGCTGGAAGGCGGATGGGTGAGTAGTAACTGTCCTAGCAGTCCTGAGAAAGCTGCATGCTAGGCCAACAGTGGGAGAAGTCAATAAAAAGCCCAGGTTACCCTGTGGAATACACCAAGAGCTCAGGAACTGGCAGCAGGAAGAACACATGTACAAGGAGAGTTCTGACAGAAAGCCTCTTTAAGACATAAGCCCCCAGGTCCCCTGCTGATTTCCCACAGCCAGATGACTGCTGTCACTAATCCCCCCACTCCAGAAAAACGGAGGCTCATTCCCTGGAAAGAGCAAAGCAGAGAATCTGTGAACTATGAGAAATTGCAAAACTGAGGGCAAGGACCCCACACTGAAAACAGGGGATTGAGGGCAAGTTACCAAATGCTCTTCCCTAGTAGGCTTCTACAGCTCTGGCAGCCAGACTGAACACCCCAGACAGATAAACACATCCCCTTCTGGAGACTGGCCAGCCCAAGAGGAAAGGGTTAAAAATACCATCACCAGGGTTCTATGGAAGTGCCCACACCAGAACACTCTACGGTCAAGAAGCTTCATCCTTAGGACTTCCAATCATCTTCTTAGTCCTTTTTTTTTTTGATGGTTGGCCAGTAAGGGTATCCAAACCCCTGATCTGGTGTTACAACAGCACAATCTAACCAACTGAGCTAACCAGCCAGCTCCTAGTCAGCTTGTTAGTGCCTAAATCTTAAATGTGATCAGCTAGTGATAGATCACTGGACACTTGAGGAAAGTCTCTACCATAAAGACATAAGACCAAGACCCCAAAAAAGTCAACTTAAGAGGAAGCAGACACTGCGGAGAATACAAGCACCATTGATATCTTCAGAAAGACACAATAACACCACCAAATGAAGAATCTAAGAGCAACAAAAACTCTTGGACATTAAAAATTTGATAACTAGAGGGAAAATCTTAGCAAAGGGGTTGAAAGTCTCGGAAAGTTAAAAAAAAAAAAAAAAGACAAAAGAAGTAAAAAATAGAAAAGACTTTTAAAAGTTAGGACTAGGCCAAACTAGTCAAGGAGGTGTAACATCTTCTAAAATTAATAAATATTTCTAGGGGAAAAAAAAAACAAACAAACAGAGAAATCAGAGGGAAGAAATGCAAAGAAAGGATTCAAGAAAATTTCCCAAAACTAAAGGAAATGACCATCCAGATTTAAATGGCCCACCAGCCATCCAATAATAGAATTTTTAAAAGGCTATATCATTATGAAATTTCAGAGTACTAGGATCAAAGAAAAGATCCTAGAAGATTCCACTTTACTAACACACACACACACACACACACACACACACCTCATACAAAAGCTTCAGACTCCTCAATAGCCACAGTGTAATCAAAATTCCAAGAAGCAATTTCTTCAAATTTCTAATTGACTTCCAACCTAGAATTGTATACCCAGCCAAGCTATCAATAAAAACAGAAGTGGAAAATTGATTTCTCAGAGTTCCAAATTTACCTCCCATGCAACTTTTCTCACAACGATGTGCTGCACCAAAATAAGGGAGTAAACAAACAAACAAACAAACAAAAAAACAGAAAAGACACAGAATCCAGGAAACAATGGATCCAACAAAGGAAGTTAAACAAAGGCCAAGTATACACTAGGCATAAAGAGCAAGCAGCCCACATTAGAGCAACTCAAAACCAGATAAAATCCCAGCATAAAATATTGGGAATTCCCTGTACTGGCCAGCCACAAAAAAATTGGGATGATGGTGAGACAGAAAAAGTGCCAATATAGAGTAGTGGTAGGACACTAAGGGAGAGGCAGTGAAAAAAGTCAAACCTCATCCTCAAAATAGGAGGCCAATATATAAGGTCTGAAACTGAACAGTAAAGCACAAATTTAAGCACACTAGAAGTATGGAGAGAAATATTAGAAGAATCAGCTAAGAGTTGGAAGTGGGTGCCTCTGAGAAGGGTTAGGGTTAGGGTTGAACCCCTCAGGGGTTAGACATTTTAGGGGGTACTGTTTTTCTAAACAACATGGCAGCACCATTTATATTCACATTCAACTGATTAAAAATGAAAATATAAAGATTGAACTTTGTTCAGAAATGAACAAAATTATCACCATCTTTGAAAAAAGGAAAGTAATACTGTTAAATGCCACTGATCAAACTCAGACTTTTTCATCTTTAAAGATATAATACAGGGCTAGCTGGTTAATTCACTTTGGAGAGTGTGGTGCTGATAATACCAAGGTTAAGGGTTTGGGCCGCACTAGGCAGCCACCAAAAAAAATTAAAATTAAATTGAATTGAATTTTAAAAAGATGCACTACAGAAAGGTCAGTATTTTCCATTGGCTAATACCTTCTGATTCTCTTCCACTTCAGTTCTAAGTTCTGAACTCACAGTTGTTTTCGTTATTGTTCTGAGGAAATAAAAACATGATCAGTGCTTGGTTTAACATTTGGTATAAATGTCTTCAATGTCCCTATTTTTAAGTATGAAACACGCTGCTCAATAAATTACAAAAAACTAAATGGAAAAACCTTAAACCTTTACAATTAATAAATATATTTCTCCTTCCTCAGATATGCATATTTTTCATTACTATAAGACACAACACCAAAGAAAAGTAGCAGTAACAGGAACATTTTAAAACAAGTGCAGTTGTTTCCAAGTTCTTAGTTGAATATATGGAACCCAATTTCTATATATGACCTCTACTGCTCAGACTAAAGGATAATGTTAAATACACAAAGGCAGCAGATTGTGTCCCTTTAAGCACTTATGGTAGAGGTGGAAGCCTCCACGTATGTCTGCAAGTGGCATGCTGGGCTAAGTGAGAATTTACTATATGGTAATATATAGAGTCATAATCAAAAACCAAATTTATTTACAAAATATCTCACAGCAGAAGTCAAAACACTTCACTCGGTGGCTCAAGAAAAAGCCTGGCAACCATTTAAGTAAGCAGTTTCGCAAAATTTGGCTTTTAAAACAATTTTGCCTTGCATTTATTAGGTGTGGAGCAACATTACAGAATTGAAAGCAATGTCAGAAAACCTGCATTCAAAGTTTTATTCTGTCACTATGAATAAATCACTTAGCCTATATGACCCTGTTTCTTCATCAAGATTCAGTAAGATGACACATATGAAAACCTTCATGAAGAAAACCAACATGGTCTGCACCAGATTCCAAATCAGATACATTGGCATATGTTGTATTTTGTAACTCATCCAATCCTGAAAGGCAGGTAATGTTATTCCCACCCTACTGCTGAGGAGGAGAGGTCTTTTATGTGCAAACATCACACGACTAGTTCAAGTGTAGTGCCAAGAACATAATCTAGATCTGTCTCTTCAGCCACACAACGCGTGGGCTTGCCCTCTTCTCAGAAACAGCACCATCTGCAGTAGTAGTGGTGGTGATGGTATCAGAGAACCTTAATTTTATAAGCATTTTCATATCTTAACGATCTCATTTGGAACATAAACATGAAGATAATTGGATATTATGTTAAGGAGAAGAACGTATCAAAGCCTTAATCTATATTACCTGGCTTTGGTAGGAAAATTTTGACTAAGATCCTTCATAATGACCAAAGCTAACTCAACAGGAGCAGCCAAGATTCGGGCAGCAGTCTGGAAACTTAGATCTGCAACAATATAAAATATAATTTAAAGTATATTTATCTAAGGCAATGAAAAATACCATATTTACTTCCCACTGTTTTCTTGGTTATTAAAAATGCCAGGGCTGGCCAATTAGTTCAGTTGGTTAGAGCATAGTATAACACCAAGGACAAGGATTCAGATTCCCAAACCAGCCAGTCACCAAAAAATCCCCAAAAAACAAAGAAACAAAAAAAAAATGCCTTAGAATGAAACCATTCCAGAGAGGGCCTATGGTTTCATTTCAGGTTTTATTCACTTCATAGATCCCTAGAGTGTTTATCGAGCCCTTCTTGATCTACCTGTATAAAACACATACTAACACATTTAGCAGAGGCTAAATAGAGCCCAAATCCTTTTCCCTTTTCTTAATTTACAATATATCAAAAAATACAGCCTTGAGATTTTTAGTAAATTATGTTAGGGGAAAAACCTTGATAGTTCTTTGAAAGAGAAATACACATACCTCCCACCGTCCTGACATGCCTTGAACACTCACACACAGTTTAAGAAATGTATACTTAAGGGGACATAAAGACTATGTTTCATGTTTCAAGTATTACAACTTTATGTATCTGGTCACTCATTTACATATATATTACTCCTATATAATGTTATCTGTCTACAAAAGGACTTTCTTCTTTTTGTTTCTGATTAACCATAATTAATCACTACCTTTAAATTCTGTGGTACCCTCATAATAATGTGAATATATACAATAAAATTCAAATTCTGCATTTTTGGGGGGCGGGGAGGCAGCTGACCAGTACAGGGATCTGAACCCTTGAACTTCATGTTATAACACCACACTCTAACCAACTGAGCTAAATGGCCAGCCCATACTCTGCATTTAATATCACAAAATTTAGCCAAAAAGTAGGCAAATGATTTCCTATGTTTTCATCACCTTGCAACTGCCAAACTTTTAGAGGTGCCATTTCATTGGTGCTCTCCACAAGATGCTTTCTGAGTTCTTTCAACTGTCCCTTCAGGTCAGGGTGCAGGTCTCTGAAAGAAACATAAAATCATTTTCACTGTCTTTTCTTTCCCAGAGCACACAGACAAAAGTTGGCTCCAACTTTCATCTTCATGATTTTCCTCTCCCAACCCTATGAAAATTTCTACAATATAGGAAAAAAATAAATAATTTTTCTTTAAAAATAAGTTCATATAGAAAATTATAAGTTGGTTTAAAAATCGTAAAATTTACAGATTAAAAAAATAAATCAGTATGAAAGTGATTCACTATGAGAGAGTAGTGTAATGTGACTGAGAGTGGGTATCAAAGGGGACTTGAATGTTCCCTACAGTGCTTTACTGACCTGTTTTGTTTTAAGTAAAAAGGGCTTATGTTGGGGGAAAAAAAAACTTGATAAAGAGTTCTTTGGAACAAAAAAGCAAGTATGACAGCAATAATCAATTCTGGGTGGTGAGTATATGGATATATATTATTCTCCATACTTTTGTGAATCTTTTTAATTTCTCAAAATAAAATTAAAACGATAAAGAGTTCTTTGGAACAAAAAAGCAAGTATGACAGCAATAATCAATTCTGGGTGGTGAGTATGTGGATATATATTATTCTCCATACTTTTGTGAATCTTTTTAATTTCTCAAAATAAAATTAAAAAAAAATAATTGCTGACAGTCCCAAAATGAATTTCTTTCATTCTACATAGGTACTCATAAATCCTTTAATCACATGAATAAAATTCGGGCTAACCAGAGTTATTGGGTTTTGTTTTATCTTGAAATAAAGTACATTCCATTTAAAGCTACTAAAACATAGGTCAACAGAGGCAGAGATACAACAGTTAGATCAGACAGACAGATGGCTGCTGGATTAGTACTTTTAAATGCTAGAAACTTAAAATTTCGTAAAAGCAACATGCAGAAATTAAAACATTCACTCAGATCCTTCACCTTCCAATCAACCTATCACCAATCAGGTACTACAAACTTTTCTTACTCATCAAAATACCAAAAATGATCTATTTATTCTACATAGCTAAAAAGCTATTCCAAATGCCCCAAAGGTAAAATGTCTTCAATATTCTACATACTACCTTTGTGATGTGAGTGCACAAAATCATAGTGCCAAACACAACATAAAAAACATGAATATGGCGGAACAGACAGTCCCCAGCGTCATTCTCTCCCACAAATCAACCAGTTTACAACTATTAAAACGCAACAACAGCCATGCTGGGGCTGCTAGAGCTCAGGGGAAGAGGAGGAGAGACCTTCGGAGTGCCTGAAGGCAGAAGAAGCCACAATGAGAGAACGAAAGAACTGCTCTGACCATTTTGAGCCCTGGCCACTTCAAGGCTGGCCCTGGAGCACACGGAGCAAGAGCTGGCAAAAGCCACAGCTGTGCCCTCTGTGTGAAGTTGCTTGGAGGTGGCAGGGAAGAAGAGGGCCTTGGTAGCACTCAGGCCAGCAAGACCACTAACAGGATTCCCGTGGACCCACATAGGAGCAAGGAACCACAGCAATTAAAAAAAGGAGCCACTCAGAGGTCAGTGAGTCATCTCAAGGGACTGGCACACAACCTGTCCAATGGGAAGTGTTTGGAATGTGGGTGGTGGGGAGATAGGCCCACCTGTGGAGAATTGGGACACAGCATGGACAGCTGATCTGCCTCCCAATCAGCACAGGACCACTCTGTAAAGACTGGTCAGGAATATAGAACTGCAAGGGGTGCCATTTGCTGAAAAGACTCAGGTCCAGACCAGAGTTTCTACACAACCCAGGTGTACCAGATCTCAAGATACCCCAAAGTACCTACAAAGTCAACAATTAAAACCTGAGCTGCACACAAAGCGTTCCCCAGGGAATCAGCAGCAAAGCAAAAATTTAGCTCAACCACAGGGCTCAAGTGCTGGCCCCCACAAGAAGTTCCTCTATTTTAGAAGTAAGCAAAGGACAACAAATTAGTTCCAGTGCAGAGAGTAAGTAGAAGGAACAGCAAATAATCCAACACAGAACTGAAAGAAAAAACAAAATACCCACACACCAGAGACAAAGTTTGATATTAACTAGTAAAGGTCTTGCTTCACGAAAGAATATCTATAAAACCTAGAAATCCCAGAAGCTCCCTGGGCCCCCAAGCCAGGGAGGGCGAAGGGCTGGAGGACTCAACTATACCTGACACCCACCACCAGCCCAGTGATGACCACCAAGCCAACACAGGAAAAGCCCTGGGCTCCTAAGCCAGGGCAGTGGGGGGCCAAGGGCTTCGGCCACACACACCCCCTGCCCCAACATCTGCAACCAGCCCAGTGACAACCACTGAACCACCGCTGGAAAACCCCTGGTATCCCGAACCGGGGTAGTGGGGGGCCAAGGGCTTCAGCCACACCCCCCTGACATCTGCATTCAGGCCATGACCAAGCCACCACTGGAAGTCCCCCAGTCTCTCCTGCAAGAATGATAGGGTGCCACGGGCCTCAACCACACCCCTTCTCTTTCCTTCTTCTCCAACCCTATTTCTCTCCCTGTTTCCCTCTCCCCCTCCCACCCAACTACTCTGCAACAACAACTTAGAATGTAAAAAAAGATGGAGCCAGGGAGCGACCCCTCCTCCCACAGCCAGGCATGCTGCCACTGCCATGGGGCCCGCCCAGAGTCCTGAGGCATGGAGTGGGACCGACCCCTCCTCCTGCACCCAGGCAAGGAGCACGCCAAAAACACCACTTCCTGTGGGTGGCCCACCACAGCCACCACAATAGCTATGGATGCTGCGAAAGCAGCTAGACACCACAACCATCATGCAGATGGCCCACCAGCCAATAGAGTGCATTGACACAAGGAGAGTCACCAGCAGAGACCAAAAAAAGAAGAGGATGTCTCTCTCCACAAAGCCCATTCCCCAATAACAGAAGCAGCATCTGCTCTATAACAGTGGGGGACCTGAATACACCTCTCTCAGCTTGAAGAGATCACCTAGGCAACAAATCAACAGAGTGATCATTACTTTTTCAGAAAGAGAGAAGAAATCTAGGGCTATCTGAAGTGGGAGGGGGGAGGGAGAGGGGGATGAGGAGAGAATGGATAAGGGGTATAAAGAGTAAGAATGATTTTTAATAACGTATATGCTAATAATATTGATCAACATATGTCAATGTTGAACCACAAAAATATGTATAATCAATTATGATTCAATAAAAAAAGGAAAAAAAACCATGAATATGAAAAGGGATTCTGGAAACCTGGGTCAAATAAAAAGGGAAGCCAACTACATACTAATGAGGCCAAAACTGATGCTAAACAAGAAGAAATGCACATATACATAAGATGAACTCAACATGTCAACAGAAATTCCACTTGAACTATGACACCTCTGCTAAATTGTTTGTCTGGTTAGGTCACTGAATTTGGCCAAATGTCAAAGTTGAAGTATATGAATCTGAGCCTAGCATATACTATTTCTATATGATCACAGTCTTTTAAAAAAAAGCACACTGTAGATGTCCCAATTAAAATTTACAGACAAAGCAGAATTCAGGGCTCTACACAATTAATCAAGCCATGACAGATATAACTGCAACATTTAGAAAAACAGCTAAGAAGGCTTTTCACCTGTAAAATACTATGATGCTTTCCTAAAATGGTCATAGAATAATTACAAAATTATGGAATTTTTTTAAATTCCATAATTATAAACATTTTAGATCCCCTTTCAGAAAGCAAATTCTAATAAAATGCATTTCAGTTGAGCATGCATAAAATCTGCTGCATCTCTTTTGCATTTTATTCAGACTACATTTAGCATAAGCAAATAACCATTAGCATTCCAATTTAAAATACATTTTTTCCTCGGGAAAAAATTAAATGAAACAATTCAATTTCTCCTATGACATCAATCAAAAAGTTGTATGTAACTTTATGCCATCGACTGAGAGGCCCAGAAAAGGAAATCAATTTAAGCCATAGGCCACCAGCCATCTTATAATTAAGAATAATGTGCTCCAGAATAACTGGAAATTATAAATTGTACTATAAACTAAGTGTCTATTTCTCCATTTTAGATTGCTAAAATGGTAATGTTAAGAGATATGCAACTCAGATAGTAAGGAGAAAGACGACACTTAGAATGCAAGGAAGCCTGGGGGTTTAAAGAGAATAGGGGCATGTCCCAAAATACATAAAAAATACATACCTTAATTTTCCAAAAAGGAATCCTTGAACTTCATCAATAGGATCATTTTCACCAATCACTGTGGTGTTTACGTCAGTTCCTATAAAAGCACAGCAAATACACGTGTAATTGCTCAGATCAGAAATAAAAATGTTACTAACCTTATAAAATTTGAATAATGTAAAAAAAAAAAATCAGAAACACCTGAAATTAGAATACCATTTAAAATGCTGAATACCCCAATTAACATCTTTCAATGGTTAAACAAACAGAATAAACGTGTTTTAATATTTCTTGTGTTCCTGGATAAAGTAAGAATGTATTTTTCCCTTAAACTTTGGAAATTTTATATGCTAAAAATTTCAAAATGAATAGCTTTAAATATCATTAACAAAGGATTTTTCAATGTCAACATTCTGAAGAATTTGCAATTACGCAACTTAATCCTAAATAAAATTATTTTTAAAAAAAAACCAGAATGATGAGGTACTTGGGTATTTTCCATTCACTTTACTACCCAAACTGGTCATTTTTATCTTTAAAATGAGCTTATGAGGAATAAACAAAAGGACAGTATATAAAGCTTGTGTTTGAAATAATGAATTCAAAACCCTACAGTATTACAACAGAAGTATCCATAGTAAACTGTTCCACGTGCAGAAAATAATAAAGAACATAAAATTTTTCATTAATTATAAGAGAGTTAAAGAGTTCACACTGGAGTCAAATTAATGGCTATCTGTAAATCACATAGCATCAAAAACATAGCTAGTACTTAATGAAATTTTTTATACAAAAAAACTACTAAATTCTTTACTTTTACATCTTATTTACTCCTCCCAAATACTTGAAGAAGTATATATCGTTACCTGCATTTTACAAAGGAGAAAATTAGGACTAGAGAATTTGCTTAATCCACCCACTCAGATGTAAGAGAACCAGGATTCAAACACAGATTCATCATACTCTTCAATCTAATTTTTTTCATTTTGAAAACAAATTCCCCTTTAACTCATACTTAAAGAAAACGCACTGGTTTTATTTTTACAAATTCACCTTTCACCTGAGTATCATCCTTGGCCTTGTATTCAGTGCTCTTAATAGCCAACTCCACACCATACCCAGAGAGGTAAACAGGCTCCTTCCTAAGATTCTGAAAACAGAGCAAGTATTCCACCATTACCACCTAGTTCTTCATATGTCACAGTACACATGACGCAACTACATTAATGTTGCCTCTAATAGCCATTACCTAGGATTATTATCTTTAAACTTGTTTTTTAAAAATAAAACTACATGGCCAAGAGAGTTCACTAAACAAACTTTAGTCCAAAATCTACAAAAAAAAAAAACACCAACAGTAATAAACCACTTATCTACAATTAAAATACATATTAATTCTATTTTTAAAAAATCAATTCAGAGTTTATGTTTCTCTCCCTATAAAATCCTAGGCTTATTTACATTCTGCATCCTGCCACAACTGTGGGAATGGGAATTCCAAGGTTGAAGAATGGACATCTGAAAGGGCAAAGGTCCCAAACCATGCGAAGAAATGGAGAAAAAGAAGTCCCAGAACCTATAGGGCGTGGTTGAAAACTGGTGATGTCTCAAACCCAGAAGTGCTTTCCTGGGACCATGTGTGTAACTATATGTTTTTACTGAATTTAAATGCTCTCAGGCAGGGCTTGGGCTGACCAAATGTCACAGGCTTACCACCATCTTGACTGATGATGGTCTTTAAGACATTTTAATCTTTAATACCAGCAATAGAACCTGGAGGATAGGGGGAGGGAGAGGTGTTGTCAAAAACATTGATAAATCTACTTCTGCTTATACAAATTTCCATTTAAACTTTTTATTTTGCTTGCATAGACTTAGCTCCCAATATTACTGAGCTTACTATGACACAGAAACTTTAAAGGCTAACAATCTTTACATATAAATATTTTAAATGTTACATGTTACACAAGGTCTAAAAAGCTTAATATTTAATCAATTCTGCTTGATTTCACCTCTTTAGAAATCATCTCCCTCCCTTGGGGCTGGCCAGTTAGCTCAGTTGGTTAGAGCACAGCCTTATAACACCAAGGTCACAGGTTCAGATCCCTGTACCAGCCAGCTGCCCAGCCCCCCCCAAAAAGAAAGAAATCTTCTCCCTCCCACCAAATGAAAAGGTGCTAAAAAGAAAAAACAAAAAAAGGTTTGAAAAGAAATTGAATTCAAGACTCAGCTCCATAGTATAACGACCATATTAAATTTAGAAAATATTATTTACACGGTTCATTTTTAAATAAAATGTAAACTTTATTAAGCCTCTTTCTTAGCATAATTATTTTACATTTCTTCAGAAAGACAAGCAAAGCACCTCCTATGTGCAAATAATAGATTTGATAAAATTACTGGATTTCTCAAAAAAGAAGTTCACATAACTAAATTATCTTTCAAAGAGATAAATTATTAGCTTATGTTCTAAGGTTGTCATGCTGGGTAAATTAATATTCAAAACAGTTGTAAAATAACTCAATACTTACAGATATATAATGTCTGAATACATAATTGATTTTGCCTGCATTGCTTTTTGATATAAGTTGGCGGTGGAAACTTAAAAATTCCTCATAGCCAATCTCAGAGTAGAAAATCACCACAGGGCTTTCAGGATTAGATGAGGGATATCTGTGATCTCCTTTGAATAATAAAGGTTTGGGTCTGAAAATAAATATTAAAAGCTTAAAATTTTCAAGTTAAAATATATTTTTGAAGATTAAAAATAATACAAAATGTAAAACGAAGCTCTGATAATTTAAGAAAAGATTATAAGCATCTTAACATAAAGAGTATCATTCTTAAATAGTTTTCACTTAGCAAAAATACTATCAAGTATGAATCTTGTTTGTTCATGATTAAAAATAAAAGTACATATATAAATACTAACTATGAAATGCAGACTTTGATTAATAATTGTTACCAATTCCTAGAGAGGGGGGAAAAGCCAGAAAAATAATGCATATCCAAATCTCACAGTACTAAAACTTTAGTGTATTTTTCTACCATATGAATAGAATGTGATCATATTTTATCTGAAAACATAAGTACAAATAATGCAAAAACTGGAGGATGACTTTAAGCCTATAATTTCTCAATTACAGTAAATCTCCCTCCTGTACCATACTTACTACTTGATCTTTCTGCTAATGGACTTAACATTTCAGTTTTCCTCATACATTTTAAAACTTCTCAAAAAAAACTTCTCTAAGGATGGCATCAAGTTATTAATAGATCTGATGCATAGACTTTGTGACCTACCAATCCCCACTATAATAAATTATTCAAGAGAAGGTAAAGACATGAATAAGGATGTTCACTACAACCTTACTGTAATAGCAAAAACATGGAAATGACTTAAAAACCATCAGTAACAAATAAATTACAGAACATTTTTACATAGGTTATTGTGCACGTGTTAAAAATAATGAGGTACACCTACGTGTACTAAATGGAAAGACACCTTGTGTAAAAATAACCTACCTGTGTGTATAAATTTAAAACCATAGAAAAAACTCCAAACCATTAATACACATGCCAAACCATTAACAGTTACTGCCTCTCAGAAGAGAAGACACTATCACTCTTTCCTTTATAAAAGTCTGCATTACTGTAACAAATTTTTTTTTGTTTTTTGTTCTTTTTGTGACTGGCCGCACCGCGCTCAGCCAGTGAGCGCATCGCACCGGCCATCCCTACATAGGATCCGAACCCGCGGCAGGAGCGCTGCTGCGCTCCCAGCACCGCACTCTCCCGAGTGCGCCACGTGCTTGGCCCAACTGTAACAAATTTAAGTGGGTTTTTTTGTTTTTGTTTTCTAAAAAGATGATCAGTAAGGGGATCTTAACCCTTGACTTGGTGTTGTCAGCACCACGCTTACCCAGTCAGCTAACCGGCCATCCCTATTTAGGGATCCAAACCCATGGCCTTGGTATTAACAGCACCACACTCTCCTGAGTGAGCCACGGGCCAGGCCAAACAAAGTTTTTTAAAGAATTACAAAGCCATCAATTTTCTTTCCTCCAAGAGTGCACCATGCAGCCATTTCGACTGTCCATACTTTGACCCTGAGATGGCTAGAATGTACACTGCGTTTTTTGGTAGGTCACCCTGTGCAAGAAGCACTAATGCATTTGGTGGGCAGAGGACACGTGCTGGGCAGACAATCTCAGTAAAAACCTACAAAGCCTAAAATACCATTAGCATTTCTGATATAGCAGATTAACAGCACATAGAGATTCTCCGTCATTGTCTTTATAAACAGCACTAGAGGTACAGAGGGGATGCTGCCCTAGCCAAAGAGCAAAATAGGTACTTATTACAGTTGTCCACCACAAGAAACCTACCTTTAGGCAAAACAGCCAGCATGTTAATTGCCAATTTAATATTCAAATCAAGCTTGCAATTATCTTTTAAGTATTCTCCTTTGTCTGAAACTAATAACATCCTGAGAGATCACTATTATTAATAACATTACTTCAGGCACTGGCTTTAACACACACAGTATTCCTTACTATGCTAAGGACAAAGCCTGTGTAATTTCTGATATATAGTCATTACTGAATAACAATAGTAATATTAAATACTCTTACTACTATGTACATTTTGAAATGAGATGAGACAAGAAACTAATTTCACCCATTTCACAAAACTATTTTAAGTAATAGAGCTGAGATTCAGTCTGGTTCCGGAATCCATACTCTAAATCATTAATATATAGGCTACAAAACATAAGAAAAGTCAGAAGGTAGATTTAATACAGAAGAAGAACAAGGAAATGAATGATATTGAAATAAACACACAATCTACCTTTCAGATGCTGTTAATAGAAGAGTCTCAAGGGTATCAAAATCACAAGTCTTCTTTCCATGCACTGAAAAGAATGAATTACAACCTTCTGGTGGAGGTTCATCTGCTGCTATCTGTTACATAAGACACAATACATATTTATTACATATAATTTCTAGCCAAAGACAAGATAAGGACATGTATATGCTAAATAGGTGATTAAATAATAATAAAACAACATCAATAAAAACAAAAACTAACATCTACCCAACACCCACTTTGGGACAGGCAATAAGAGATTTCTGTGCCAGTATCCCAAGAGGTAGTTGGTAGTATTACCCCCGAAACGGAACGTTATAATTCTATCTCAGAAGATATCAAAGGATATCCAGAGTATACAAGATGTACCTTAAAGAAAACTAAACTAAGCTTACAAATGTCAATTTTAAGTGCCAAGGTATAACTAGCAAAAGCATAAACCCATGGGACACACTTATGACAAAACTCAGTGAAAAGGGGTCCCCATAACACAAAACACTAACAAGACCTGCAGGTATGCAGAAACCATAGGGAGGGATACAACAAGGGATGTGATACTCCTGAGAACAAGAAAACTCAAAAACAGCCAACAAGTTTTCACTGGAATGTATGGTGGTTCTGTACAATTCAGCATCAGGTGAGCACAAGGCACACGTGGTAAAGCTCAAAGGGGCTGGGGCAGTTAAGCTGCTCTGAACTCTCAAAACTCACAAGCCAGGACTCCCTTCCAGGACAGGGCCCCACTCAGAAAGTGCAGACAGTAGAATAAAACTTGAGTAGGACATTGGCAGAGAGACAATGGAAAAGAAAGTCCAAATAAAAGTACAAGATAGGGCCAGCCCGTGGCTCACTCGGGACAGTGCGGTGCTGATAACACCAAGGCCATGGGTTCGGATCCTATATAGGGATGGACGGTTGGCTCACTGGCTGAGTGTGGTGGTGACAACACCAAGCCAAGGGTTGAGATCCCCTTACTGGTCATCTTTAAAAAATAAAAAAAAAGTACAAGACAGAAACAGAGATAGGAAACCTCAAAAAGCAAACTACCATATTTTGTTAACACTACGTAAAATCAACAGAAAAGGTAATCTAAGAGAAAACTAATTTTACAACAAAATGAGAAGACTCCACGTCAAATACCAAAGCTATTTTATGGGGGGAAAAAAAGAACAAAATCACATCCCTATTGACCAGCACTACACAATAGAAATTACTGCAGTAACAGAAATGTTCTATATCTACACAGTCCAAAAAGATAGCTACTTGAGGAGGCTGGCCAGTTAGCTCAATTGGTTAGAGTGTGGTGCTGACAACTACTAGTCATACATGGCTTCTGAGCACTTAAAATGTGGTGAGAACAACCGAAGCAGTAAAGTTTTTATTTCATTTAATTTTAATTGATTTATATTTTTTTAAATAGCCATACGTGGCTACTGTATTGGACAGTATAGCTATGGTCAGTGAAACCACATCAGAAATATACAGCCAAAAAATGTAACCTACTATTTCAAACAAGATAAAACATATTAAGAAGATGATATACAGGGGCCGAGCCCGCGGCGCACTCGGGAGAGTGCGGCGCTGGGAGCGCTCCCGCCGTGGGTTCGGATCCTATATAGGGATGGCCGGTGCGCTCACTGGCTGAGCGCGGTGCAGCCGGTCTCAAAAAGGACAAAAAAAAAAAGAAGATGATATACAACATAAAAATAACCTGTCAAAATTAGAAAAACTCAGAAATGAGGTGAAAAGACTAGAGAAAGAATGAGAAGTAAAAGAAAAATCATTTTAGAAATGAAGACTAAACTAGAAGGAGAACAAAAATAAATATAACAAGTAATGAGTTAAAAGAAGTAGGAGCTGAAAAGAAGGAAAATTTAAAAATCAAAAGGAAATTAAAATGGTGACAGGTTAGCCCACTTGGTAAGAGTGTGGTGTTGACAACACCAAGGTCAAGGGTTCAGATCCCCCTACCAGCCAGTCACCAAAAAAAAGAAAAAAGAAATTAAGAAAAGAGATACTCAAGAGAAAATGACAAATAATGAAAATAGGCAAAGAAAATTCAACACATAGATGATATGAATCTTTGGAGAAGATAAACATAACAAGTGAAAAAAACTATAATGAAAGAAAACTTTCCTGAAATAAAAAATGTTTTGTAACTCTATACTAAAAGGACATTCTTGGGGCTAGCCAGTTAGCTCACTTGGAAGAGCATGGTGCTGATAACACCAGCATCAAGGGTTTGGATCCTTGTACCAGCCACCTGCCATAAAATAAATTAAAATTAAAATTAAAATTAAAAAATACAAAAAAAAATTAAATCAACATAAAATGCCATTCTGAATACCTAAGAATATTGACCCAGAACAATCACCATTAAGCTATAAATTTAGTAGATTAGGACTTTAAAGAAAAAATCCTCTGAGACTCTAGACAAAAAGAACAAGAGACTTTTAAGAGAAAGAACAGACATACAGAAAAATAGAATAGAATAGAGATACCAGAAATAAATCCTCACATACTCGTATATGGTCAAATGATTTTCAACAAGGGTGCAAAGACCATTCAATGGGGAAAGGATGGTCTTTTAACAAATGGGGCTGGGAAAATCAGATATCCACATGCAAAAGAATGAAGTTAGACCCTTACCTTACACTATATGAAAAATTAAATCAAAATGGATTAAAGACCTAAAACTATAGAACTCTTAGAAGAAAACATAGGGTGAACTCTTCACAGCACTGGATTTGGCAATGACTTCTTGGGTATGAAAACAAAATTATAGGCAACAAAAGAAAAAATAGTTAAATTGTACTTCGAAATTTAAAACTTTTCCAAATCATATAACTGATAAAGGATTAATATCCAGTTTATATAAAGAACCCCTACAACTCAACAACAAAAAACAAACAACTGGATTCAAAAATGGGCAAAGGATATGAAGAGACATTTCTCCAAAGAGGATATATAGATGGCCACTAAGCACATGAAAAGATACTCCACATCATTAGTCATTAGGAAAATGCAAATCAAAACCACAATGAGATACCACTTCATCCCCATTAGGATGGCCACTATTAAAAAAATCAGAAAATAACAAGTGTTGGGGAGGATGTAGAGAAATTAGAACTCTCATGCATTACTGGTGGGAATATAAATGGTGTGGCTGATATAGAAAACGCTTTAGTGGTTCCTCAAAATGTTAAACATAGAATTACCATACGATCCAGGAATTACACTCTGCTATGGGTTAAATGTGTTCACCAAAAGTTCATGCATTGGAAATTTAACCTCCACTGTAAGTGTTGAGAGGGTGGGAAATCCTATTATGATAAGTGAAAGGTGGGGCCTTTAAAAGATGATTAGACTGTGAGGACTGTACCTTCCCAAATGGATTAATCCATTGATAGTTTAATCAGTGGTCATGGACATGGTTATGATGGCTTTATAAGGAGAGCAAGTGAGCAGGTTAGCTCTCTTGTTCAGCCCACTATCACAATACGACACCTTGCGTTGCTGTAGAAGGCCCTTACCAGATGTGTTCCCAGAACCTTAGACTTCCCAGCCTCTGAATTGTAAGACATAAATTTTATGACTTTATAAATAACCCAGTCTCAGATACTCTGTTATAAGCAACAGAAACAGACTGATACACACTCCTGTGTACCTACCCAAAAGAACTAAAAGCAGGGACTCAATCAGATACTTGTATACCAATGTTCCATAGCAGCATTATTCACAACAGCCAAAAGGTAGGAACAACCCAAATGTCCATTAGGGGATGAATGGATAAACAAACTGTATTATATACCTACAATGGAATGTTATTCAGCCATAAAAAGGAATGAAATTCTCATATATGCTACACATGGATGAATCATAAAAACATTATGCTAATTGAAAAAGCCAGACACAAAAGGACAAACATCGTAAAATTCCACTGATTTGAGGCATCTAGAATGTGCAAATTCATAGAAGTAGAAAGTAGAATGGTGGTTACCAAAGGATGGGGGAAGGAGGGAAATGAAATGGGGAGTTATTATTTTGTGGACATAGAGCTTGAGTTTTGCAAGATAAAAAAAGTTCTGATGATGGATGGTGGTGATGGTTGCACAACAATATGAATAGACTTATTCCAGTGAACTGTACACTTAAAAATGGTTAAGATGGTAAATTTTATATTGTATTTTACAATAAAAAAAAGTTGAAAAAAACAAGAAACAAAAACCTAAATGATCAAAGTAAAAGAGTGTTAGTGAATAAAACTCTTTCAGAAACCTGGTAAATAAAGGCAATCAAGCACATGCTCTGCCTTTCCTATGTGAACAATATCACCAGACAGTACGAGATGAGGATATGTGCTTTAAATTCATGTTGAAAAAGAAATGACAGAATGAAAAAGAAATGACAGAATGAGTCACTACTTCACAACCCCCAAAGAATTACTGGATTAAGCATAGAGCAGTAATAGCTGCTAAATCAAAATGAGAGAAGCCTCCTAATGGAAAAATAGAACGCTCTCCTATAATTTTTGCCAAAGGTTTGGCAAAAGACACCCAATCCTGATGAAGGCCCTGGATCCAGATGCCAATTTGCAGGAAACAGAGGACAGAGGAATAGGATGAACTGCATCAAGAGTATGTGATCAACAAAATACAAACCATGAAAAAATCTACATTGCAAACAGTCAAAGTTATGCATGCAACTGAAAAAGAAAGGGATGGAAGGAGAACAAGTAAATTAAGAGATCCACCCCCAAATTTTCAAATTTTAAAAAACGGGGCAAGGCGTAACTCTACAGTGTGGAGATGCACTCTTGGACAATAAAATGATAAAGAAACATAGCAGATGACTCTAACAGAAGTTGACAGAGTACTTCCTTGAGGGGGCAAAAGGTACCTACAGAGGAGACAGAGCACATGAAAGGCTTCCAGGGCACTTGGCTAATTAAGTCCTATTTCTTGACCTGGGTGCTCATTTATAATAATTCATTATACTACATATTTGTTGTGAGTGTGTTTCTATATAATAAAATATGATCTCAAAATTCACATTTCTGTTATATCAAATATCCAGTTGGTGTACATATGTCTTCGACTACCTCTTCTGTTTCTTTCCTTTTCTTTTCTTACAGTGGGAGTTTCTACAACTCAGAATCCAAAGGAGATCCCCACACTGCATTAAGTTGACACATTTCTTTTGGCTCTCTTGACTTGAGGTTCCTCTGACCTTCTTTTTTCTTTTCCTTTATAATTTATTTATTGAAGAAACCAGATCATTTTACCATAAAGTTTCCTGAATTCTGGGTTTTCCTGACTATATCCCTGTGGTGTTGCTAACACTTCCTGTCTCCTACATTTCCTGTGAACTGCTTTTAGACTAGACTCAGGTTCATTGGTTTACCAAGATTTATACCTACCAGCCTGTGTTGCATAAATAAAGTCCGATTGTTTCTTTTTTGTGTGGATATTCTTTTTCCTTATATGAAAATAAGTGCAGGTTTTACACACACACACACACACACACACACACATTTTTTTTTTAAGATGACCAGTAAGGGGATCTTAACCCTTGACTTGGTGTTGTCAGCACCACGCTCTCCCAAGTGAGCTAGCCAGCCACCCTTATATAGGGATCTGAACCCGTGGCCTTGGTGTTATCAGCACCACACTCTCCCGAGTGAGCCATGGCCAGCCCTCAGGTTATATTTTTAAATGTCTGTGACTTGAAGACTTAACATCAGTTTTGCATATTATTTAAAAACAAATCATAAATCCTAGAAAATTCCAGGCAAAAAAATGATAGCTCTGTAATTCAATTCTACAACAACTGCAATCTATCCAGTCATCATGTCATACACTCTACAAAATACTCTTCTCTAGAAGCAGTGGACTCACCTGCTGGAAGGCTTGAATTGTAGCTGTGTAAGAACGAAGAGACAGACAAAATTTTAACAAATTCTGCTGTAGAGGTGACAGAAACTGAAATGCAGCTTCCAATATTGTGTGATAATAAGAATAATCAGTACCTGTCAAGGAAGAACATTAACCAAAATAACTGTATATGACTAGAGATATCCAAATAAGATAGTTCATAAAGTATAAAGCTGTATGCTATAAAGGTATGTGATGGCAAAATTTTACTACTATACTGTCTTGAACTATTGTCAAATGCTTAAAAATCCCTAGAGTACACAATGCAGTTGGACTTTTTCTTCCCTTGTTCAAACTACTGCCTCCACTTGGACGGCTATTTTCTCACTTACCTGGATGACTTACTCCTACCTATTCCCTTAGGAAGAATTCAGTGGTGAAATCACCTCTCTGGGAAGTCTCCCCATCCTTACCCCATACTCCGATGGATTTGTTAGATCTCTTTGTTGATCCCAGAATACTTTTTTGCTTACCTTTCACTTATCACATCATTTACTAAATTATTTGTTCCCTGTCTATCTACTCCCCACCAACTAGACTTTGGGCCCCCACAGACAGAGGCTATGACTTATTTATCTCTGTATCTCAGGTGCCTAGCACATGTTACCTGCTCAAATAACTAAACACTGAGTAGTACGATGAGGAAGTACAAGGTACTAAAGAATACTGATGAAATTGTACAGTTTGGGGAGAAGCATTTTAACAAAAAGTTGAATCAAATTAGTCAAAAGGGAAAAAAAATTTATGTACTAGTATGAAAAAATCCCTGGGATAAATGAAAAGCAGAAGGTACAAAATAATTCACATCACAAGCCATCTCTTTTACCAAAAGAAAGAATACATAATATATTTGCTATAAAAAAAACACTGAAGGCTAAACAAATTAATTTAAAACGGTTATAAAAAGCAGAGAAGAAAAGGAAGGAACAGAGACAGGGAGGGAACAAGACCTTTCTGTGTACAGCCTTTTATACAGCTTTGACTTCTGAATTACATATTATCTATTCAAAGCAGTGAAATTTTCAATTTTAAAAAGAAAAACATTAACATTTTAAAAAGCAGAACATAAAAGGTTCTATATTGCATTAGCATCTTCTACATAGAAAAAGAGACCAGCAAGACATATCTCAAAATGTCACCTGAATGTTAATGGTGTCAATCTTTGGATGGTAGAAATATGAATAATATTTCAAATAAATGAAAAGTTTAACATACTTTTATGATCATTTCCAATAATTCATATTCCCATAACTTTAAACAAAAACAGGTATCATTTATGGGCTGGCTGGTTAGCTCAGTTGGTTACAGCGCAGCCTTATAACCCCAGGTCACAGGTTCAGATGCCCATACTAGCCAGCCACAAAAAAAAAAGTATACATATAAAATATTTATATTGAAGAAATTTCACTTTTTTCAGCAGCACTGATAGAACTAAATGAAGAAACTTCATTGTAAATGTCAGAGTTCAAATTTTATTATAAAACCTATTTTGAGAAATTAGTTCTATGAACTCTTAAAAGTAAATCATTTTTCGAAACAAACAATTCTAGTTGAGTTTAATTACATAACTAAAATTTACAGATGCTTATTCAAAACCTTTACATATTTATATCATAAAAAAGATTTAGACAACATTTAAAATATGTATTATTTTAATAAAAGTTAAAAAATCAATTCCATTAAAATTAACAGCAGTCACACAATTTTTGAACATTTCCTCTTCCATAAGGACTTATACCTGTCACTATAATATTCAAAGCTTTAACTACTCAGATATTGGCATTTTTGACTATTAATGTTTACACCCTATATAGCCTATATCAAGAGAGAAAATGTTTGTGAAAGTACATCATAAACTGTAAACGAGTGACACAGGATATATCATTAATTTGATACCTTGACACTCATGTTGTGGGTGGCTGGCAGGCATAATGGAAAACATTCTGAATGGCACTAACTCAATGATAATGAACTTAACAGATAATAGATCAGTTGTGTAATTAGTTCATAACAAAAGAAAGAGTGAATCAAATCAGATAGTTATTAAGTAAACATTAAATTATTTAAAATGAAATGTACAGTTGGCCCTCCATATCCATGAGTTGTGCATCTATGGATTCAAACAACCACAGATGGAAAATATTCAGGGAAAAAAACTGCACATATACTGAACATATACAGACTTTTGTCCTCATCACTCCCTCAACAATACAGTTAACTGTTTACACAGCATTTACATTGTATCAGGTATTATAAGTAATCTGGAGATGATTTAAAGTATACAGGAAGATATGCATAGGTTATGTGCAAATACTATGCCATTTTATATCAGGGAGTTGAGCTTCCTCAAACCCAATGGAAGTCCTGAAACCAATCCCCTACAGATACCAAAAGACGACTGTATGTGCACAATATCTACACAGCGCTTAGTAAAAGAACACAACAGAACAAAAATGGGGGGTAGGGGAGTCAAAAAGGAGTGCTGCTTACAGCTAAAGTTATAAACTTCAAAAATAATTATTTGGGGGCCGAGCCTATGGCGCACTCGGGAGACTGCGGCGCTGGGAGCGCAGCAGCACTCCTGCCGCGGGTTCGGATCCTATATAGGGATGACCAGTGCGCTCACAGAGCTCACTGGCTGAGCGCAGTGCGGCCGGTCTCAAAAAGGACAAAAAATAATAATAATAATAATTATTTGGGATGCATTGGCTTTTCCTGGCTATCACCACAGCTCTAGTCATTAAAGACAAAAATGTTTTCCATTAACTGCCATGCCACACATTGTAACAGAGACCACTGTTTCTAATATTTTCCCAGACACCAAAGTCAAAGAAGCATTTGCTTCAATTTTACCGTGATGATCTGATGATCCAATATTTTGACTGGCTTCTACAAAATTCCAAAATTTCTCTTGACTGTCTTCTGCTAAAAACTCACTGGGAGAAAACGGGGAAATGTCAGAAATAAAACAACTTAATAAAATCTTCTAAAATAAATCATATTACTAAAGAGAGTAAAAATATGTTTTAAAGTTTCCAAATGTCCATAGTCTGACTTTTAATTTATCATACACATCATACATTTTTATGCATAATATATTTTCTTAATGATAAGCAAGTCTTATTAGTTTATTAGCTATTAATAACTTATTAGCTCAATAACTTATTTATTTAATAGCTTAATAACTATTTCTTAAGAAACCTGGAATAATAAAAATGTAACAACAGGGAAGTCCCAATATAAAAAAAGCTTATAAAACCCCATTAGCAAAAATGCTGTCCACAGTGCAAGCAGAATTAGGAATTGATAATACTAGTACTAGTTCTGCTCACTTATCTTCTGAAAGACGTTGCAAAGAATAAAAAATATGTTTTGCCTAAGATTCTCCCACAGTAAAACACGAACCCTAGAAAAATTTCTGGGAGATTAAAGAGTATATGTTGAAATCTTTTAACATTCATAAATCCAAATTTTCAGGATCACCAAATTTTAGTTTAAAATTAGCACTGATCTAACAAAATTAGATCTAAGAACTTAAATGTCATCTTAACTTTTTTTTCAACTTCACCCTAGTAACCTAAAATAAAGGCTGTTCTAAATTTCCCTTCGTTCAAGAGTCTAAAACTCCTAAAAGAAAATGCACATAGTAATTGAATGACTCATGTAAACTGGTATATTCTCCTCCGAGCCATACTAATGTAGTGGTGATCTTTCACTATCTTAAAGCAAACTACAGATCTGGATCTCAGCTTACCTAGCCAAAGGAAGACTTTCCCATTACTTGTCAACACTGGGGTGTACAACTCTCACTCTACTCCACAGCTAGACACAGAAATATGGGAAAAATAAGAAACATTTCCTGGTAATGCACAGCTTCTCTAAAAATAGGTTTCTGAAAATACTCATTAGAATGTATTAAATTATTTATTGCCTCCTTGAAAGTAGTGTTTTTCTAAGCTTTCTACCAACTTTAGAACAGCTTATAGTCTAAGAAAACAGGTACTAAAACACATACGTCATGATAATGCAAATAAACACTAACTTTATGAATTAAAGCCACATTCACAAGATAAGCCAGAAGAAGGGGGCAGGATGACACACTCATCAGTTGTAGTGGTGAGAACAAGGAAGTACTCAGGCTAAGACCCTCCTGGTAAAGGCCATACACAAATAAATACACGCTTTTCATATAATTCAGGAAAATTTCTTGAAACATAAATTCTTTTCATCCCACTGCATAAATAAGTCTTACGTGATCTAAGAAAATTAATTACTAGATCCACTGAAATAATCCAGGGGAGAGGAAAACAGAACAAGATATTATTAGAAGAACACTGCCATTTTTTACAGTATATTTAACTTAGTTTTGTTTTGTAGCCTCTTATACCTATTTTAGTGAATAAAATCTATTGTTTTACAGATGAAATTATATGATGTCTGGGTTGCTTTAAAATATTCCAAGGCTGGCCAGTTAGCTCGGTTGGTTAGAGTGCAATGTTATAACACCAAGATCAAGGGTTCAGATCCCCATACTAGCCAGCTGCCAAAAAAATTTAAAAATGTAAAAAGTAAACAATAAAAAATAACATATTCCAGTGGGGGAGGGGAGAGAGTGGTGGTGGCGGTGATGGTGGTTACTGGACTTGAATTGGTAACTGTTAATTCTGGGTAATAGGTACAGAGAGAGCACATTATATCATTCTCTCCATTTATAAATGTTTTGAAACATCATAATAAAAAGTTTTTAACCTCCAACAACAACAAAACCCACAAACAACCTGAATAAGATGATAAACTTATTTTCTTAGATTTCCAAAGTTACTGAGGGAGATCAGAATTGATCTTCCTGGCTGGCTGGGTAGCTCAGTTGGTTAGGGAGTGGTGCTGATAACAACAAGGTCAAAGATTTGTATCCCAGTACTGGCCAGCCACCCAAAACACTGAAGAGAAAAGAATTGATCTTCCCTTTAGCAGAAGGAGAAGAAAAATGGATATTTAAGGAGGGTCTCCCATGTGAGAGTCACTATGCTAAGTATATTTACCCATGTTGCCAAAAACCTCACAGTACCCTGTTATAACTGTTTTTCAAATAAAGAAACTGCAATTCAAAGATATTCCTAATTTGCTTAAGGGCACTGAGTTAGTAAATAAAAAACCTAGAATGTAAATTCAAGTCTATCTGATTTACACCTCTATCATGCTACATTCTTGGGCCACTATAATATCTAACACTCAATAAACAATAATTGGCTTTGATTTTAATAATACCTATTTACATAACATTTTTATTAGTAACTATAGCTGCCCAAAACATATTCAAGGTTTTACTTCAGTTAAATATAAATATCACTTCATGGACAACCACAAAGCTACAATCCTTTCATAAACATCAGGCCCAACCTATAAATATAAACACGAATATTTTTAGTCCCTAAGGGCTAGATACAAGGAAGGCAAAAGTTCTTTAATTGCTGCATGCTTGAACTGTAGAAAAAGATTCTAACCATTCTTCCTCACTCAAATGGACAGAGTGCCGCAACCCATCATCAGGGCCTACCACGGACATAGGAGGGAAGAATGGTGACCTCAGCTAGCTCTGGAGACGAATAAGGAGCGGTTTCAAATAAGCAGAGCTCATTTCTAAATTACCTAAGTGTCCCAATACCTTGGCAAACTGTATGCAAACAGACATAGGAAAAGACACCTAAAAATAGTAAACTAAAATGGCAAATGACCAGGATGTCATGAAAAAGGGAGATGTCTGTGATGGGGAAGTTGGTGAAGGAAACATTATACCATACCCACTTCACAGTGATCAAAGAAACTTAAAAAATTGAGCAATTAAGGCTCACAATTTTAGCATACTTTCTCAAAGTCCATAGGTACATGCCACAAGAATCTTCTAGAACAATACACAGGTATCAAAACATGTGTTAGTGTAAACAAAAGTGAGGGTAATGGAATGTAGTAATTCAGTTAAGAATGCTAAGCAGAATATCAAAACACATCTAGACAGTTAATTATACAAAACTATTCAGAAAGTAATAGTAAATCTCAATGACTTAGATTTACACCAGAAAAATCATCCAAAATAAGATTAGCAAAAAGGAAAAAAAAAAGCTCAGTTATTAGAGTCCTGACTAAGGCAGTCTAGGATCTCAAACAACCTCGTCACTTGGAGGTGACCGCAGTTTTACAACTACTCTGTATCTAATAAAGTTCTGCCTTTTGAGGAGCTCAATCCATTTATCAAATTATTTACTGTAACATCATGGTAAAAGAAATACAGTAGTTTTGGGGGTTTGTTTTGTTTTTGCCATTTCATTGCTGAGAAAAGGGAGGCACAAAAAAGGACGGAAGAACAGTGTGTTCAGCAGAAAGTCCACTACGCTCCTGAGCAAATCAAGACCAGCTCTCACATGCCCCCTTTCCCACTGGTCCTCTTAGCAATACCAAATGAGGCTTCTTCCTTAAGGGGTGCAAGTGTTCACATACACAACACAACAAAACTCTTCATTGACATTTTCTGAGAGATTAAGGAGAAAATGTTAGAAGACAAAATTCTAAGTTGAAGATGATAAAGGTAGACCACAAAATTAACTGAAGTGATGTGACAGTTCAAATTTCTAGCACTATCAAACACTGAGACTTACCAGGTGTTTGCTATTTAATCTACCTACATTTATCCTTTGGGAAGACTCTCTATGAGTCCTAACTATACATTATTTGAGATACAACAACAAGTTTCCATCCACAAACATAAAAAACTGGTTATAGAGAGCAGTATCTCATTACATTTATATTATAAACATAAGCTAAAAGCACACTTGGAATACAAAATTTCCCAAGAAATCATCGACTATATTGTATTTCATCAATTTTAAGACATTATCATTGTTTTATGAAAAATGCTACCAATTTTAATTGCAAGATAATTTCTTGATTTGGGCCGGCCTGGTGGCGCACTGGAGAGTGCGCTGCTTGGGAGTGTGGCAGCGCTCCCGCCGAGGGTTCGGATCCCATGTGGAGACCGGTTCCCGCTCACTGGCTGAGCGTGGTGCGGACGCAACACCGAGGGTTGCGATCCCGTTGCCGGTCCCCGGTCCGGTACGGGGGCAGCACTGAGGGTTGCGATCCGTTGCCGGACACGGAAAACTTGATTTGGGCCGGCCTGGTGGCGCACTGGAGAGTGCGCTGCTTGGGAGTGTGGCAGCGCTCCCGCCGAGGGTTCGGATCCCATGTGGAGACCGGTTCCCGCTCACTGGCTGAGCGTGGTGCGGACGCAACACCGAGGGTTGCGATCCCGTTGCCGGTCCCCGGTACGGATGCGACACTGAGGGTTGCGATCCCGTTACCGGTCAGTAAAAAAGACAAAAGGAAAAAAAAAAGATAATTTCTTGATTTAATTAAAAATGCATCCTGATTTTGGAGATGTTAAAATATAGAACACGTAAATCTTAGATGTACGTGTCATTTCTTCAGCTTCTCCCCTGCATTCTCTTATCTTGGGGTCTTCTTCCAAGTTCTTAAGGGGTGCATGTCCTCTTACCCCACCTTGCCAGCCTTTCTTCTCTTCCTTATATTAAATATCTCTTAAAACTTTCTTCAAATAAGTAGAAACTCTCTTACACAATTTTCTCTTCTCTTATTACCACACTTGTTCTTTCTCTTGAAGATATAATAATTTAACCAATTCAACATATTTTTCTAAAGAAGTTCCTAAATGTCTCTGACTCAATACAGCCCTGTCCTACTTACTGAAAGATAGATACTCTGTCCTAACAGCCTTTGTACAGCACATAGCACTGTGCACATTGAAAGAGGCTCTTAATAAATGCATTTGAAGATGATAACTTCACTTCCTAAAAAGCTCCTGAATATCCACTGGCAGAGCCTACACTTACACTCAAATATGTGTGTGAAAGAAAAAAAATGTCTTCTTACCTGGCTTCTAACAACAGTGGGGTGGAAAACCATTTTGTTGTAAGAGAGGTTGTAATAGCTTTTGAATCTGCCTTTACTGAAGCGATCAGCCACAGTCCAGTGAGTACAATCAGAAGTCCCATTTTATAGCAAAATCCTACAAAGGAAAAAAGAAAAAAATTCCACTACAAGGTAATGTTAAGCCTTAATACATGGAGACAGAAAATAACAATCTTAATACTTGGAGACACAAAATAACATTAAAGTTACAGATATAGAAATGCTTCTGAAATATAAGAGCATTTAATATCTAGACAGTCCAATAGATATTTGCTGAGTGACTGACACATAACTAAAGGCATGTAAGTTCATTAAATTCTTTCCAACAACAGCTCCACTTTATTTCCTGGGGAGTCTATATACTGAGCAAAGGTATAAAAGTCAATTGGTGTCAAGACAGGTTGCACACAACTATACTTCATAAAGCATGAGAGTAGCAGGTTAGGGAGCAGTGTTGTAACACAAAGGTCAAGGGTTCAGATTCCCTTACCAGCCAGCTGCCAAAAAAAAAAAATAGAGAGAGGGAGAGAGTAGCAGGGCTGGCTGGTAAGGTCAGTTGGTTAGAGCAAGATGCTTATAACACAAAGGTCCAAGGTTTGATACCTGTACTGGCCAGCCACAAAAAAAAAAAAAAGAGTACATGAAGCTGAGATAGATGAAAACACAACTGATGGGTGTTAAAAGTTGAATTGTGCCCCCCCCCCCCAAAGATATGTTGAAGTCCTAAACCCAGAACCTAAGAACGTGGGACTTTACAGAGGTAATCTAGTTACAAGGTTATTAGGGTGGGTCCCAATCCAATATGACTGGTGCTATGAAAAGGGGAAATTTGGACACAGAGACAGACACACACAGAGGGAAAACTACATAAAGAGACACAGGGAGAACCCCAAGTGACAACAGAGGCAGACACTGAAATTATACTCAGAGCTAAAGAATATCCAGGGCTACCAGAAGCTGGAAGAGGCAAAGAAAGATCCTCCCCCTGTAGGTTTCAGAGGAAATATGGTCCTGTGACACCTTGATTTAGGACTTCTAGCCTTCAGAACTATGAGACAGTAAATTTCTGTTGTTCTAAGCCACCCAGTTTGTGGTACTTTGTTATGGCAGCCCTAGGAAAGTAATTTAATGGGTCTCAAATGTAAACTCAAAGATAGGTTCTGGAATGAGGAGATGTAAGATCCAATGGGTTCCCAGGCCACATCCCCCTCTACCAAATGAGAAAGCTGGGGTCCTTTGTAAAGCGGCATGGCCATAGAATGCAGGCCTCCTGACTCCTGTCCGCAGCCTCTCCAAGCACGCCAAGATCTTCTCAGTGTCCAGACTATTTCAGAAAAAGGTCTCCAGCTGCAGATTTCTCCGATCTGATTTTTCATCCCAGAAGTCTACCTAACAGAAGCCTAATCAGACTTCCACCTAAGTTATAAAAAAGTCAGCATCCAACCTCCACCCATTTGAATGGGAATCAAAAAGGGATGAGAATGGTGGGAAACACTGAACCAACCTTGAACTTCTGAATGTTGGCATCTGGTAAGACTCACTCCACTCTCACCCCAGTTCCTCAATACTGGTCATAAAATCTATCATTGGGGGAAACAGTCCATATTGGGGGGACCTGGCAATAACTTCTTTTTACAAAAAGCATTATGATTTGTGCTAACATCCTGCTTCATATTGTTCGTTACACAATATCTCTGAAGAACAATGGCCAAAAATAAAATAAATTATGCCAAATAGAAAAGTGGCTTTTAAAAGAGTTTTAAATTCAGGCAATGCCAGCTTCTTTGGAAACAAAAGGTTTATATGAAAACCTCCTTTAGAAACAATGACACTCAAGTATTAAAAAAAGAGCTGGCCAGTTAGCTCAGTTGGTTAGAGTGTGGTGTTATTAACACCAAGGTCCAGGGTTCAATCCCCGTACCGGCCAGCTAGCAAAAAATAAAAATAAATCAACATTTGTAAAGACTGCTATAGATACTCTGCAGAAACAAAAGAATACACACACAAAAAAATAAAATTTACTGAAAAAAAACAAAATTTGGTCTAGAGAGCTAGCCAAACTAGACCTTGAAACCTGTTCGCAGTGATTCCTGACTGGAGAAGGGAGGACGACGTAGGCCCCTTTTGGAATCTATGGAAGTTACTGACGTTTCCAAAAAAATAAAATAAAATTTACTGAAAAAAAACAAAATTTGGTCTAGAGAGCTAGCCAAACTAGACCTTGAAACCTGTTCACAGTGATTCCCGACTGGAGAAGGGAGGACGACGTAGGCCCCTTTTGGAATCTATGGAAGTTACTGACGTTTCCCGAAGAGGAGCAAGCAAGGACCCAAACTTACATAAAAGTAAATTACAACTTCAGACCACTCAAGAACTCTCCTAAGAAAAAAAAAAGAACTTTCCTAAGACTATTCATAGACATCCTCCCCACAGATCCATGGACCACAGCCTCAAAAATCAGCTCTGCGTGATAGAACAAACACAGTTATTGAAAAGAGAAAAGCTTTTAGCATCAGAGGAGCTGTGATCAATTCCTAGTTTGCTACTTACTAGCATTTTAACCATAAGCATGTTACCTTAACTTCCCTGCACCTTAGTCTCCCAGAGTATAAGATAAGAATAACAATATCTGCCGCACTGTCACTGTGAGTGAAAAGGCAATTAGGAAAATCACTTTGTACAGTGCTAAGTACTATAACAGAACTGACGGTTGTAGTAAAACATTTCACCATACGAAAAAAAAACTATCTTCTAAATTATAGGATGCTGCATCATCATTACTACACAGTTTCAAAAATATAGTTTGGAAATATATTCTCTGTGGCTAGGAGAAAAGAAAAATCCTCCCCAAACATCACTGAGTTTCTAAGTTGGAGACACAGCATGTGAACTGTGTTCAAGCAGTATTATGCTACTGGCTATGTTTACAATTTGTCCCAAAGGGACCTAAGATGTATAATGCCCAGAAAGTGGTGATTCCTGATGCCAAACTGGATACCACTGCATAATAACTCCAGGCAGACAGCCTGGAGAGCAGTGAGGGAACTGAGGGCATGACAAAAGGCCCTGGAGGAAACCTTAGCATTTGCTGAGCAATGAGTCTGGGCTAAGCATTGTGTTAAGTGCTTTACATACACTATGTTAACTAATCCTTACACACAACAACTCAGGGAACTGAAGTTCCTTGCGGGCAGCAATCGTATTTACTTTGTTCACCTCAGTGAACAGCACAGTGTCCAGTACACAGGAGATATTCCATAAATATGCTGCATAAATGGATAAAACATTATTGTATCATCTTAACAAATAAAACAAAAGCTCAGAAAGGCTAAGTACCTTATCCAACTAATAAACAGTAATGCTTGGAACCCATACACGCCTGTTCTACAATATCATGCCATCTCCCTTGGTTCTCTGGCTTTAGAAGAGGTAAAAATTCACACTGTGCCGACTCAGACTGAGCATAGTGCTTTACTGGGAGAACCAAGGCCAATTCCAAGGATTTTCTAGGGGCCAAGTCCTTGGGACACAAGTGGCTGAAAGAGACACAGTTTCAACCTAAAACCAAGGGAGCAGGCCTGAAGCAGTGGCCAAAGAACAAACTGACCAACCAGCATGACAGATCCATACTTAGGTTGGCTTTGGGGACTGAATGTAACCTCCTCAAGAGCAGGGAGTTTTGTCTGTCAGTCACCATGCCTAGCATAATGCCTGGAACATACGAGGTGCTGATAAATGAAAACAACAGGAAAGAAAGGAATGCAGCAGCAAGAATAAAGATGCTACAAAAAGGCCAGGACAGTAAGAAGGGTAAAAATGAAAATCCTATGTACTTGTGACTTACCCAGAGATCCCTTGCATCGTTTTAAAAAGAGAGAGAGAATGTGTGCTCTTGGGGAGAGATATAGCACCATTAGAGATGAAAAAGGGAAGAAAGCTATACAATAAAGAAGAGCTTTGACACCATGACCCTACATTCTTGATTCCACAGGTAATACCAGAGGAAAAGGTTGTCCAGAGAAACACAGGTAAGAACCTCAATGAAGTCGTCTTTTGTTCAAAGATGCCTTCATTTTATGAGATCCCTTATCACTCTGATCCTAGTGGTCCTTAAATGCTGAGGGTCTGGCCAGTTACTGTGTTGATTACAGTACAGCCTTCTAACACCAAGGTCATGGGTTCTGTTCCCTATACCAGCCAGCTGCCCCCAAAAAAGCAAAATGAATAGTCTGAGAGAGCAGTCAGAATGCACAATGTGGTATTGCAGGAACACGGGCATAAGGAACATAATGCTTGTGGCATGTTGGATATATAGAAAACACTCTTTAACAATTATAGGTCCAACTCTATCATCAACTGTCTGTAAGATCCTAGTATGTTTAAATTAAAACACTATCTCTTGATCACTTAACTACAATAAGATACAGGAAATATTAATAAAAATTATGTATGGCAAACGCTTTTCATTCTGGAAAACAGAAGACGCATAAGTCATTACCAACTTTTTCTTATTCTGTTTTTAAACTAAAGATAATAGCTAACAAATTCTTAAAAAGCAACTTGCAATCTGCAAGCTTACAGACGGCCATCTGAGTTTCAACATATATAATAGTAGCAAAGAAAAAATATTAGGAAGCACCTTTTTGAGAAATAAATTAATTTCTCAAATAATTAAACTTAATATACATTTATATCTTTAGCAAAACTGTTTGCTATGAACCACATAAACTTCAACTGAAAGTAGTTACTTTGTTCACCTCAGTGAACAGCACAGTGTATACTCATACATCTGATATGAAGATGATCACCGATAACTGCAGAAAAGCTCCAACAGAATTTTCTCCATCGTTCAACCTATCCCCTGCAAGTTAAACGTGCACTGTAAAGGCACCATGCTACTGAACAAAATATTACGTTTACTTCCTTTAATAAAAAGTTTCAGCTAAGTTTATCAAAAACAAGATAATTTAAAAGGCTACAATCATCCCAAATTTTATGGTGTTGTTAAATTTAAAAAAAAAAAAAAAGTCTTCAAAGCTGGCCAGACGGCTCACTTGGAAGAGCATGGAGCTGATAACACCAAGGTCACAGGTTCGGATCCCCATACCGGCCGGCTGCCAAAAATAAATAAAATAAAATGTCTACAAACTCTTGCAAGTGTACAACATATTTCAAGAAAAGAGGGCACTTTATACTAAAATCGCCTGGCAAGTGTATCGGTAAATGTTTCCAAAACAGTGTAGCACAATAAGGCACAAGATCCCTGGACTTCAAATGAATAAAATATGCTCCTCAAATCTGGCAAGGTATGTAAAACAAGCTAGAGATTCTGGCCATGGAACAAGAACAGTTCACATCCATAACTTATTGGCAATGTACTCAGATCTCCTTCTTCCGACAGGTCCCACGCTAAAAGTGAAACAAGATTATCCAATTTCCAGCCAACAGATTTTAGTATTAAATGAAAAGGGCAACCAATATGCATCACCCGAATTCATTTCAGGGAAAACTGAAATCTTTAAAAGAAGCAAGTCGCTTTCCAATCAGAGTCCTGCAAAGTGCCGTATCCAATTTCCAGCCAACAGATTTTAGTATTAAATGAAAAGGGCAACCAATATGCATCACCCGAATTCATTTCGGGGAAAACTGAAATCTTTAAAAGAAGCAAGTCGCTTTCCAATCAGAGTCCTGCAAAGTGCC